ATATTTATAAACAGTTCAACTTTGTTCTTGGATCCCAGGAAGGCCATCATTTCTTTGTCAATGGAAAAGCATCATGTATGGCACATGGAGGAAGCAAAATAAGAGGAAATCTGTTCTCAATTGGCAGATTATGAACATATCCCATTTTCAGTGTAGCAGTATGAAAATACTTTGAATCTACAAGTTTTAGTTTTACAACATCAGTACTGTGACATTTCAGTCCAAACATTAACTGGAGCAAGTGCCACGTTCTCATAATAGAAATAAGGAGACCCAATAGCATCTTCTGGAAGTTTTCTTTGAGTTATCTGATCTGATTCGGTAGGAACCCCAGAACCAATCATTGGATTTGAAAGATGAACATGATCATCTTCATTAAGAAGCTTCTTTTCAAGCTTCCTCTGCTTCTTCCTTTTCCACAAATCATTGCCCGAGTTTCACCTTTTCCTGTAATTGGGATCATTGTGTAATGGCTTCCTATCTTCTACCGGAAGAAGTGTGTCAGCAACCTTAGCCATTTGATCAACACATATAAAACCTGTCAATTCTGTAATTGATGAATCTGGACCACATATCCCCATGGTTATTGAAGCCTCAGCCTCTGAGAACCCTATTTTCGTCAAGAATAACAGTTTATTCTCCTCATCATAATCAGAATTCAAGATTTCCTCGGTATCAGAAAGAACTATCAATATCTGTGAAATCATCCTGAAAGATTGCTTCATAATCAGATAAGTTGTTATCAGAATCAACATGTTGCATGGGTGTGGATTTTTCAAAGAGCGTGTACCATTGTATATGTAGTCTTGTCAGTACATCAGATTACTGTTTGCATAAATTGGTTTCTCTCCTATGGAAAAGTATACTTCAGAGATGGGCTTCACTGAAAGATAATAATCCACTGTGTCAGCTTGGAATAGATTACCAAGCTATTTTTACTGCTCTGTCTGACTAGATCCCTCCAGATACAGAAAATGGTCACCTCATTCAAAAGACACATATCTCAGTCATTTCCGTCAGATTGTTTGAGCACTTCTTAAGTTTGTGACAACATGAAGAGATTTCCTCAAGTTACTTAACAACTGCTGTTTAGTGACACCAGAATGAGAGTATTCAAGATAAACATATTTGAGGCATGAATAAAGCTACAAGTACCTACAACAGTTCATTGTCAAAATTGGACCTCGTGGGGATCATGACATTTCAGTCAAACAGACATTAAGAGTGAATCAGACAAATCTAGAGAGACATCTTGAGGGCCCATTTCAATCAGAAATAGAATATTGGGGTATTTTGAAGGCTCACAACAATATGACTATTTGGGCATTCTTAAAGGCTCATCTCAACAAGAAGTAATATTGAGCACACTTTTAACATCTGTATCAGCAAATGTTGGGGCATTTTAAAGGTTCCTTCAGACAGATCCATGTGGGGTATTTTAAAGGCTCATATTAACAAGAAGCAAATATCGGGGCATGCTGAAAGCCCATTTCAATCAGAATCAAGAATGTTGATGTATTTTGAACGTTCGTATCAACAATTGTTGGGGCATGCTGAAGGCCCATATCATCCTGTGTCAAAATCATTGACTTGAGCAGATATTTCCAATGAGACAGAAAAATATGAAGAATGAAAATGGTGAAGCAATAACAGTCAATTTGACTACACATAATTGCTTCGTTCATCAGGCAGTTGCATTAGGGTCCTGTTGTTGAACAAATATTTATTCAGCAAGTATGGTTTCAAATACCCAATCTTCTTAAACCATGTGTCACATGACAGTGTGTTCTTTGTTAAGCTACATCATGGTTGCATGAATAAAGATGGTCCCTTTGTAGACCATTCGATCCAAGGATCAGTTCCTCGAGACCTCGAAATCTGAATTTGGCCTTTTGTGTGTCGGTGATAATTGAAAATATTTCTTTGAGATTCTTGTCAGTTAGTTTCAACCATACTGTTGAGGTTACGAAGCTGTTTTTCACATCAGTTTTGTTTACTTGATGACATTGAAAAGAGAAGCTCATGTATATTGCTCTTTCCCGATGTTACTGGGTTATCATTGCCAGCTAGACTGAACTGAGTTTTCATCTATTTGGTTTATCATGTGCGTTTCATCCCCAGTTACAAGAATTCCACGGATATTTTTCTGTACATTGATCCTATAGCTGAAGTGTTTCTACTTTCTACAATGCTCATTATGAAAGAAAGCATGATCAGTATCACATTTGTCTTTTCCAGAGATGATATCAAGATTTGTTGGTATCTCTTATTCAATTCGACACCAGCACATTTTGTGAATTTGACTAACTTTTTGGTCATACCAACATTACACTTGAATCCCCACTGAGTTTTGATCTCAAATGGTCTTGTGACATCATTCAAAAGCTTTGAACACTAGGCAAAGAGCTTCAATGATTGAGAAATCTTGGCAAAAGCCACAGGAAAGGATGAATGTGTTGTCAAACGTTTTATGAACATCTGAGCAGAAACCACATGAGATGATGCATGTGTTGTCAAATGTTTTACGAACCAGTTATTCTGATGCTGAACCAATGTTGTGATCATATGGTTTCCACTTTTAATCCAAGATGAAGTTTGTCTTCTTCAACTTCAAGATTATAAGTTGAGATATGATGAAGATCTCTTTCCGTAGAAGGAGAGCTGAAATTTTAACAACAAGAAATTAGTGGAGCCAACTAAGGTTGAACGACAGGTTGTTGTTAAGCATCTCGGCATGATATGATCCAAGTTGCCTTGTTCAAGAACCATTTAAATGTGGGGACATGAAAGGAATTGTGATAAATTCTCCTTATGATGTGTTTCAAGAGTCAAATCAGAACAGACTCTACTCTCCTAATTAATCCCTGCTGAGTCATGCATATCTACATCTACACTCTTCAAAGATGATAGATTCTCTTTTCAAAGATGATAGGTTCTCTTTTTAAAGATGATAGATTCTCTTTTCAAAGATGAAAGCCTTATGGGATTTATACACAAGTCCAAGCAAATAAAGTTGGTTTTATCCAAGACAAAATGGGGCATCAGGGTCATAATTTTGACTACGACAAGAGTTCCACAAGTGAAACATTTCTTCTGAGACTTAAATGAAGCAAAAAAGATGCAAAGATACAAGCTGATCAGATAATTCTGTAGAAATGCAAGCTTGATAGCATAAGTTTCTACACTGATATCCAGAGGTAACACTGGCAATAAATGATGAAGTGAAGGAATACCAAGTTCACCACTTTGAAGTCGAATGAAGATTGCATCAACATTCATGCATTCATAAGAATATCATTTACACAATAGATAATGCATTACATTGATACATTTGAGTGCATTCAAACATTAAGTTTTACAGATCTTCGGAAGAACAAGAAGATTCATGGTAAAAAAATATATATATATCTTACAAGAAGAAAGTATTCAAAACCGAAAATACAGGAATCATGCAAACATATGAGGAAGAGATGGAAGCAATCCACAAAAATTAGTATTATCTTGAGATTGGGGCATGTTACCCAATCAACATGTTATTTAAAAAAAACAGAATGAGAAAACGATTTTCATAGTTTCTCATTTTATCTTTTCTGAAATGAAATTGTTGAAAAGTAAGAAAATGATTTTCTTAGTTTTTTTACTTAGTAAACTATTTCCAACAGCCTTATCTTGAGATTGGGGCATGTTACCCAATCAACATGTTATTTTGAAAAATAATGAGAAAACGATTTCCATAGTTTCTCATTCAATCTTTTCTAAAAATGAAATTGTTGAAAAGTAAGAAAATGATTTCCTTAGTTTTTTTACTTAATAAACTATTTCCCACATCTGTAAGTCCTACAGTGCATGATGTTTCCAAAAAGCCTTCGGGAGCTTTTTGATGTTTTCAAAGCCTTAGGGTCATCTGTAAGTCCTGCAGTGCATGATGTTTCCAAAAAGCCTTCGGGAGCTTTTTGATGTTTTCAAAGCCTTAGGGTCATCTGTAAGTCCTGCAATGCATGATGTTTCCAAAAAGCCTTCGGGAGCTTTTTGATGTTTTCAAAGCCTTAGGGTCATCTGTAAGTCCTGCAATGCATGATGTTTCCAAAAAGCCTTCGGGAGCTTTTTAATGTTTTCAAAGCCTTAGGGTCATCTGTAAGTCCTGCAGTGCATGATGTTTCCAAAAAGCCTTCGGGAGCTTTTTGATGTTTTCAAAGCCTTAGGGTCATCTGTAAGTCCTGCAGTGCATGATGTTTCCAAAAGGCCTTCGGGAGCTTTTTGATGTTTTCAAATCCTTAGGGTCATCTATAAGTCCTACAGTGCATGATGTTTCCAAAAAGCCTTCGGGAGCTTTTTGATGTTTTCAAGCCTTCAGGTCATCTGTAAGTCCTACAGTGCATGATGTTTCCAAAAAGCCTTCAGGAGCTTTTTGATGTTTTCAAAACCTTAGGGTCATCTGTAAGTCCTACAGTGCATGATGTTTCAAAAAAGCCTTCGGGAGCTTTTTGATGTTTTCAAAAAAAAACCTTCGAATCATCTGTAAGCCCTTCAGTGCATGATGTTTTCAAACATTTTCATCCTACTCAATAGAGGCCAAAAAAGTTATTGTCTTTTTCGTCTTTACTCTATTCTTGTTAACACAAGAATGAGCAAAGAGGGGCAGATATAGACATTAATTTTTTTTCATAATAATAATAATAATTATTATTAATATAATATATTATTATTATATATATATATATATATATATATATATATTACAAATTACATCAGAGGCCCAATCCCGTTTACAAGCCCAAATCCCAGGCCCAACCAGAACCGACCCAGACCAAAATGAAACCCTAAATATTTAAGGTTTCAGCTAGGGTTTCTAAACCCTAGCACTACTGCCGCGCGGCGCCGCCTCATGTTTCCAGAAGAGCCCAGCTGCCACCTCCAGGTGTTCCACCCCGCCGTAGCCACGACATCACTGCCTCTTCGAAGACTCCAGAAACATCACGCCGGCCATCCACGTCTCAGCTATGGGGTGAGTCACCACATAGTTTGGTGAGTAACCGAAGTTTCCACTCTTTAACCAGTCCGAGAGGAGCACCGTGGTGGCTATAAAAGCCACCGTTACCTGCAAAATAAAGAACACACACAGTAAGAACAAAGAACAGAAAACAGAGAGGAGACCAACAGCTACGGAGCAACCAAACAGAGAGCAGAATACGAGAATAAATCAACACCCAATAACCAGAAAGAAGAGGAAAATGAGCATCTTACCATCATAAAAGCCTCCAAACCGTTTGGAACCACCAGAATCATTGTAAAACCGAAGGTAAAACTTTCGATTTATTTTAAATCTAGAACGATCTAAAGCGTTTTAGGACAAGCGAAGGCCATATTCGGCCTTAGGAGGTCGAGATCTACACTCTAGGGTAATTTGGGAATTCCAGCCACCGTTGGTGGCGGCCGACAGTGGTGATCAGCGCCGTTGGTGTTGGCCGGCCGGTTACAGAAATCTAGAGAGAGGCGAGAGAGTTTTTCTTCTCTCTCAGCTAGAGAGAGAAGAGGAAAGATGAAAATGAGAAGCTGGCCCTTAAGGGCCGGCCTTTTGGGGATTTTAAACCCCTCCCCAAACGATGCCGTTTTGGGGGAGGGGTATATATGTAATTTCTCGCGTGAGTAAACTATACCCGCTGCCACCACAGTTTTGTAACTTTTCATTTTGGTCACTGATATCAAATCTTAAACCTTTTAATTCGGTCTTTTGATTTTATTTAGTTTATAATTTAGTCCTAGCCTGTATACTTATATATATTTAGGGTAAATACCGTATTTAGTCCTTATAACTTTAATAACTTTTATTTTGACCTCTAATTAATTAAGGATTAATTACATTAGTAACACCTAGTTTTCATAATATTTCAAACTAGAGCTTTTAATCTTGATATGTCATAATTTAGTCACCAATTTTAATTATAAGTTTTATTACTTTTTATATTTAATTTTAATTTTATTGTTTATTTATATTTTAATTTTATGTGTTTAAATTATTATTTTCATAATTATTTTATTATTATTATCTTATTCATATAAATATATACCTATATTCTTTTAAATAATAATGTTTATTTATTTTCAATATCAAAGAAAAAGGCAGTCTAAAAACAACTGGATGTCCTATTCTGGTATTTTAAATAATTAAACATTATAAAAATTATAATTTAGTTTTATTTAAATTATTAAAATTTTAATATTTATTTTTTTTGATATTTCTATATAAATAAATATTTTTATAAATATATTTAAATTAATATATTTTCTTAAAAATTATAGTAATAAAATTTGAAATAACATAATTATAAATTAAATATATTTGAATTCTTAAAATTCTATTATTAGAGATAATTTATAATTAAAAAGTACCAATTTTGGGCGTTGTAGGGGTGCTAATCCTTCCCTAAACGTAACCGACCACGAATCCCTTTTTATTATTAAAAAGAACGAATTTTTGGTTAAAACGCAGATCAATTTATCTTTTAATTGATGTTTTCTTAAAAACTCTTTTAAAGGATGAGTTTTAGGTATTCGACCTACCTGACCCAAAAGGTCGATGACGACTCCCAAATTATTATTCACATTATTTTTCCCGCCAAGTATAAAAAAAAATTCGTGCCCGGACGAAAACCGGTTACGACACTACGCATTCTATTAGTTTATATTATAAATAAGTACTTAAAGTATATCCTATTTTACCAACAGGAGTTAGTTCAAGTGGTAAGCAACTTAATATCAAAGTAAGGTCTCAAGGTCAAGTTCTTATGTATGCAAAAAATTCCTACTGGGAGACTCGCCTATTAAAGATAGGTATGCGACGCGGATCGATCTGGATTAGTCAAGGCGAAACCTTGGAACTAAGAGGGAAACAATATATCATATTTTCATCTAAGTACCTAAAGTTATTTTTTTTTCATCAAAACATGTACATAAAATATTTTTTTGGATCAAAATAGAAACTTGAAGTATTCAAAAAATTCCATCTAAGTACTTAAAATATTCTTTAATTAATGTCACGTGTTAAATTTTTCATAACTTGTAAAAAAGATTGAATACTTTATATACCTATTTTTGACAAAAACACTTTATCAATAGATTAAAAAAATTTAAACAGATATAATCACTATCATTCCTTTTGGAATTTTTGATTAAATTATATTTTAATTATTTATCTATTTAAATTTAAATTAACTTTCGTATTCCTATTATTTTAAATTTAAAGATATTAACTTTATCACTGATAGATACGAATATAAATGGTAAGTCTCTATACAGTCAATCAATTATCATTTAATAATTAAAAAGTAATCTTGGAGAAATCCAATTAAAAGTTAACTTTTTCACATATAGTTTCTTGGGTAGAAACCCTAGGTGCTCAAATCAAGAATTCAAACACCGTGCTCAGGCTGTCATGTGATTTACTCATCACATCTTATACTCTATGTAATTAAGCAAATCAAGTTATTATATATATATATATATATATATATATATATATCAAACTGAAAGTTCGGCTTAACTTGTTCTTCAACATGCAGATGCAGCCGACAATGTCTTCCTATTGGAATCACCATTGAAGAAGACAAAGTGAAGAAATATTTTCAGGAAGCCATGGTGGGAACCTCAAGCTGCCATGTTTTCTCCTTGTTTTTTCCAGCTTTATTACTTTTTCTGCTTCTTCTTCTTCTTCCTTCCTCTCCCCTTAACAGCAACCGGTTACCCCAAGTTTTGACTTCCTTCTCGCCTTTCCGTCGCGACGGGACCGATCACTCGCCGCATTCTTCGCCGGCTCCACCGCATGTTTCCCTGGACGGGGTTCTGTCGACTTCCGTGTATAAAACCAATAAACTTAATGTTGCAGCAATTATTAAAGTGAGCATTGTAATAATATATGAAGGTTTGCTGGTTGTTTTTGAATTGTCTGAATGAACATTGAGTGTGTGTCTTTTTATGTTGTCTATTGGAAGAAGAAGAGCAACATGGAGAAGATTGAAGATGATTTGGCTAAAGCACGAGTAGCCATTCTCAAAGCAGTTCAATTGCAGAACTTTACATCAGAGAAAGACGATAACTTTGTTCCAAAAGGATCCATTTACAGAAATCCATATGCATTTTACCAGTTAAGTACTTAAATCAGTTTGATGTTATTCGAATATTCGTATATCGAATAATCGATGTTATTTGAGTTCGGATTGATTAACGGTTTCTTTTTTTTTCCATTATCAGAAGCCATGCAGAGATGGTGAAAAGGTTCAAGGTATGGACATACAGGGAAGGTGAGCCACCATTGTTCCACAATGGTCCATTGAACAATATATATGCCATTGAAGGGCAGTTCATTGATGAAATGGATAGCAATAAAAGCCCTTTCAGGGCTCGCCATCCGAACGAAGCTCACGTATTCTTCCTTCCGTTGAGTGTAACCGGAGTGGTTCACTATGTTTATCGGCCTATAAACTCGGTTAAGGACTACTCTCGTGATCGACTGCAACGATTATTGACTGATTATATCGATACCGTATCGACGAAGTACCCTTACTGGAACAGAAGCAACGGTGCCGATCATTTCATGGTTTCGTGCCATGATTGGGTACCATTCGAACCTCGATTTTTCATTTGTTTCATCGGTTTCGACAATGTTCAAGTCCACATGTGAATGTCGCTTGTTTTTCGATATTGCAGGCACCGGAAGTATCGGATGCAAACCCTGAACTGTTCAAGCACTTCATCAGAGTCCTCTGCAATGCAAACACTTCGGAAGGATTCCGGCCAAAAATCGACGTCTCGTTACCTGAAATTTACCTACCCTTTGGGAAGCTTGGTCCGCCAAATCTGAGCCGGGGTCCGGACCATCGAACTATACTAGCATTCTTTGCTGGTTCACCACATGGATACATCAGGAAGATCTTATTGAACCATTGGCAAGACAAAGACGGTGAAGTCCAAGTGTATGCTCGGCTTCCCAAGAACCTCAATTACACCAAAATGATGGGGCAGAGCAAGTTCTGCCTGTGTCCGAGCGGGTTTGAGGTGGCTAGTCCAAGGGAAGTCGAGGCCATTTACGCAGGGTGCGTCCCGGTGGTGATCTCGGACAACTACACATTGCCCTTTAGTGATGTGTTGGATTGGAGCCAATTCTCGGTTCAAATACCGGTGAGGAAGATACCTGAAATCAAGAGTATCTTGCAAGGGATACCGGAAAGCAAGTACTTGAAGATGTACAAGAGGGTGAAGAGAGTGCGGCGACATTTCGAATTGAACCGGCCGACGAAGCCGTTCGATGTGATTCACATGGTGCTTCATTCGGTGTGGCTAAGGAGGCTGAATTTTGGGCTGCCATCTTGACCCCTAACGTAGGAAAGCAAAATGTTTTGACCCCCATGAATTTTTAGGTTCTCATTTGGTTTGTTTTATGTCAGTATAATTATGTGGATCGGTGTTTAACTATGTTGTAACTAACGAAAATATTAGGAAAAAATAAAGTGTAAAACAAGAACAAAAGAAACTTTGTTTATGCGATTTAGACCGATCAACAATCATGCCTTACACAGATGAGATTGAACCGGCTAACGAAGCCTTTTAATGTGATTCCACATCCTTCTTTATATTACCTAAAGAAGAACCATTGGATACAACAGAAAAAACAAAATCTTCTTTAATGACATCTTATTATATCTATAATTATTTTCATTAATGACAGAAAAAATTATATTCATTAAAAAGTTGAGATTTTATTCCATGAAAAATCTCAAAGTTAATTATTTAATTAATAGTTATGGCAAGTTTCTTAATTTTTAAGTTTTTGAAGATTCTTCTATTACTTTCATCAGGTCTTTTTTGAATATATCAAAAATTTTATTATTAAGACAATATTTGTTCGTAATTATTTCTTAAAATAACATCTATTTAATAAAGATGTATATGTGAATCGTACATCGTAAAATATATTTCTATATTACAAGTGTGATAAATCTCTTAAAAACACGTTTGGTAAAGCACTTTTCAGATCTTAATACCATATTTAATTTTTTTCTTTATAAATTCGAATACAAAGTGATATATATTTAAAGATTCTCAACCAATTGACAATGAATGTTCATATCTCTACATGTGCTTGAACCCAAAACCTTTAAAAAGAATATCAAATCCCTTAATCACTAAGATCGCTTAGTTCATACTAATATCACCTCTAATTTAAATACATACTAATAAGTTTATTCTCCATTTATTCTCCACTGAAAATATATATTGTCCACTCAAATTTGATTTGATTCCAGAATTAAAAACTCTCTAACTAATATGATATGAAGATCATTCTTTTTTTATCTGAATTCAAATTAGTCCGAAATTTTAAGATATAAATACGATGCAACGTAAAATAAAGACTTAATTTTTAAAAAATAGTGAAATAAGATATTATAACAATTATCTTTAATTTTATAAAAAATATACTATTATTCTGGTCGGGTTGAATGTTTTTCAGTGTTTTTTGGCCTAATAGGGCAACCGCCTAAATTATTTGGCCCATTAGGGCATCTCAAAAATTAATTTGAGATCTACGATATTTTTTATAGTCCAGATCGAACTCGTCATCTCAACGTCGAGTTCCATGTGATATAATTTTTATATTTCGGGCCCAATATTTTAATATATCTTGTTGAACTTGTCACCAGTTTCACCTCGAGGTGACGAGCTCCATTAAAAAATTATTTTTAGATTATTATGCGAATTTATTGTTGGACGAAAAAAAATTACTGGAACTCGTCACCTCGACGTGACGAGTTCAATTAGATTTTTTGCTCTCCAAAATGTGGTAGATTGTGTTGAAAGTAACAATAAACTATGAACATTAGATTAGACATTTAGAAATGCACATTAGGAAGAAAAAAAAACTACAAACTTAATACATTAACATTAGATTATCATTGATATTTGTAAAATTGATACAACATGAGAATACGATTACAAAGGATTTATCGACAAGCTCGATATCTTGGGAGATATGGACAGTGCTTCCTATTGTGTCTTTCACCTCTGTAGTGGTCACATAGCTTCGGTGGACATTCCTCTCTATAAGGGTCATCCATATTAATATGAATTCAAGTAGATTCAGGACGACCCCTCAACTTCATTCGTAATTACAGATTGTGTAACCATTCTTCAGAGACAATAAGTGACCAATATGCATCGATTGGGAGATACTTAAACTCGTAACTATATATGTTTCCATAGTATACAAGCTATAATAATCATCAGCTTAATTATATGGGTCTACATTCACATGCATACATGCAACAATCACGTGAACGCATGGGTATCTGAAGGTTTGAAATCAACCACAATCAAAATCAACCACAATCACACCATATTCTATTCAGATTACCAGTAAAGGTAGCAGAAGTCCCACCCTCATGTGCATAGACAATAAATCAGATTCCAATCTGGTGAAATTACAAACATACATTGATGTTGCATGAGTTTAATTTTTGGTCACTGCTTTCTCAAAATCTGGAGCCCAATTTCTACATTTGTTGAGCATTGCCTCTGCCTGGGAACTTTTGTCTACCCAAAATTTACCCAATCTGAAGTATGTCTCCCGAACAATACTTGCCACCAGAAGATGTCTAGTCTCTTTTAGCACTGAATTGATACACTTGGCAAGATTGGTTATCATATGACCATAACGTCGACCTTGATCGTCATATGCATATGCCCATCTTTCCTGGGGTATCTCAGCTACAAAGTTATACACCTCTTTTTCATACTTTCTCAAATTTTTCTAGTCTTGCACGAAAGCTCGGTTATAGTAAAGTGTGTAGCCTGAAAACATAGTTACTTGTAAGTATAATAATTTTAAACAAAGACCAAGACCAAAAAATGAAGGGTAAAACTAAATAAGTTACTCATGTTGATAATCTCTTTCTTTATCTTCTTATTCTTGAACCTCGTCATAGCATTTGAAGAAATATGACGTATGCAATACGCATGAAATGCATGCGGAGGCGACCACCTACTTCTCGGTCTGTCAATTATGGCCAACAACCCAGGTAACAGTTTGAGATCATACAAACCCCATATTAAATGACAACATAAGAGCGCAAGCTTGATAGAAAGAAATTCCACGTTTCCTCGAACTCATTTTTAACAATGGCAAAGGCAATGGGGAAGATGTTTCTATCACCATCTTGTGTAACAACTATCATAAGGATATGTTTGTATACGCCGTACAGAAAAGTGCCATCCACTTGAACCATCAGTTTGCAGTAACAAAAGCCTTTATTTTGTGACTTGAAATCCCAGAACAAGCCTCGAAAAACTCTCTTACCAGGGATAACTTGTCCGTTAAATTTGGTTGCAGGATAAGTGTAGAAGCGAACAATGGTCCCTGAGATGAAATATTTCATTACATGAAATAGATGTGGCAGCTCATTGTACGATTGATCTCAATCACCTTACAATAGTATCATAGCTTTTCGTTTGGCTATCCAGAACTTGTAATAAGAAGAAATATACCCAATTACATTCTGTATTGATGCCACAATCATTGATACTGGGATCCTTGGATTTTTCTCCACCAATAGATTCATGTAAGCACAAATGACATCAGAGTCTAAGTGTTTTGGGTCTTGTGTGAAGCAGTTGAACGTGCAACTGTGCTGGTTGTGGAACATTGTCATTTTCTACAACATCTTTCGTTGTAGGTATAAGACATGTATCCTCCACTTATAGTCGGCGTTGTTGTTAATACATCTGACAAAATATGTCTTATGGTTAGACTCCATAATAGTGAATTCCATATGAGCTTTGATACAAAACTCCTTCACAACTAATTGCTCATTTTTCTTACTCTCAAACTGTGATCCAACTCCAAACTCTGTCGATCCTTCTTCCGAGGTCCCATAGTGGGTTGTGCATATATCATACATATCATGAATCTCAGGATTCCTCATGAAATCATAGTTTATCTCATGCATTGAAACTGCATGATGATATTGAGGCATTTGAGGGTGCAAACTTTTTACTTGCATGGTTGTTGGTGGATGTGCCCAAACTGGCGGTGTATTCTGCATTGCTTGGCCACAAGAAACATCTGCCTCCCAAACATCACCCTCTATATCAAAGGTTTGTACAT